AATCAGTAATTCCACTTTTACCAGAGTATTTTTTAACACAAGTATCTGTACTTTTACTCAAGTACGGAAAGTGAGTACTTTTGCCATCTCTGGTTCTGAGGAAAATAACCATAACTCCATCTGAATGTAAAACGCTATGTAGCACTAGACCACCTGCCATTGATTTTGATTGTTAATTTAGGAATCTGAATCAGAAATACAGATTCTTTTCAGTCTGGTAGCTGATGTGCTAACAACCTTATTCTGTCTGAGCTTTTTCTGTGCTCTACCTTCGTTTTTCATCGGCTTGAAAAAATTACAAACACAAAAAGATCTTTACTTTTAGACCCTCCTCTGGTCTGTGTCTGTGGCGAAAATATGGTCTTCTTTTCATTCAGAGATCGGATTAGGGCGAAGTGTAATGAAATTCAGCACTGCACCAATGGGAGATTGGGAGATGTTTGTCCTGGCAATCCTCCCTCATTCTGAATGGAACATTTTTAGTATTCTTCCATCATCCATCTCCTCCTCCTCATCTCCCTCCTGGCTTGGACCCGGTCTCTGTCCAAACTGAGTTACTCTTCATTTTTACCTCATTCCCTGCAGAGATTAACACTTTTCTTTTCACTCTGCTTTTACTGCATGTCTGATTTTATGTTTTCAGTGATGTTACTATGATAGTGTTCTCTAAACCCTCACTAACATCTCTTCAGCTCTTTCCACGACCACAAGGATGACCTCCGTAAGCGTCTGTCGTACACCACCCACAAACTAGAGATGGTAGAAACAGAATTCGACTCCACTCGGCAGTACCTGGAAACAGAGCTGCGGCGGGCCCAGGAGGAGCTGGAGAAATTTACAGAGAAGCTGCGCAGGTGTGTGTCCATCTGCAGGAATCATTGGATAGTTCACCATGATAGGTAGAAATATATTGCACAGGAAAGGCTTATGTCAAAAAATCAGGTTGCTAACACAAACAGCAAGCTGCTTTATCACCCATATTCCAATAAATAATTAGAATATCAGGAAGAAGTTAATTTGCTTCAACAGGTAGACTAAAATTTTGAAAAACTGACATACGGGTCAGTGCGATTGCAGTGCTGTGTCTCTTGGCTTATCGGGGAAGGTTTGGGACTTTCCTCAGAGAAGCTGGATGGGCTATCTGAGAAGAGGGACGTTGGGGCATCTGGGCTGAGACTGCTGTGCCCATAACCCGGTCCTTGATAAGTGGGATAAGCAGGATACATAGAATATAAGAGTCAAATATAAAATCCATTTAGTTAATCAGTCAGTTATTGTGAAAGAGGGACGTTTAAAGCCTTTTTTTTTTAATTAGAAGATTCTGACCTAGTGTCAATGAAAACCCCCAATTCCTTTTTTTTATGTTAATGTTGCTGTAAGTTTCCCTGATTTAATTAAATCATTACATCTTTGAGTAGAACAAAGATTTTATTTTATTGTATGAACTCCTTAAATACCTCCTTAATTCAAAATAATACTTTTTTAATGTAAGGTCCTGTAGAATAAGCAACTACTTACTAACAAATAACTCAAAGCACTGTGTTTTTGCAGGCAGAAAATAATTAATTTCTCTTATTTAAAATGCACAATATAAATGGTTTACCGTTAATATTATAAAGACTTCATACACTTATACAAGTTAGCATAAAACACCTTCGTTGCATATTAAGAGCTTTTAAGCTTTCTTTTACATTGCTGTTGGTTTTTATTCATAAATAAATAGACTAAATCAGTAAATAAATGTAATATATTTTTTAGCCACTTTCCATTCGTCACATTTATCCATTTATCCCATTAGACTTACACACAGACATAAAATGTTCGGTAACTTAGGGTTAAGTATCGCGCCCAAGGTGGCGTCACATCATCGGCATTTAACGAGAGGACAATCAGTTCTTCTGATTGGTAGACAACTCAGCAACACACTGAAAGAAGTTCACCTGATTAGTATCTCGTTAAACAGAACAATGTTTGTTTGTTCTGAAAAGTTTAAATGAATATTTATTTTAATCACAGATAAAATAAGTCACACACAAAAGAATGCAAGCAAAACTGTGATCAAATAAAGCTTAGAAGAGAGTATAACACTCGTAGGATACGTTGTATCATTACTAAGCTACATTATATTATTTTAATGTTAATATTAACTAACTCAGTGGAAACTCTACAAAATCAGCTCAATTAGTTTGTGACCTTTACTTAGAGTTAATTGGCACCAAAATGAACACTTCAGTTAATGATTATGAAAAAAAATCTATGCGAAGTGTTAATCAGCAAAATTAAGAATATCTTTTTATTGTTTACATTAAGTCACATGAGGTTCTGCAGTGATATGAAGATTTCTTCTGTTATTGCTGGGGCTCTTCAAAATTAAACCATATTAAAACATATTAAGAACCTATCCACTTATTTCGTATCACAAAATCTGTTGATGGCATAAAATGATTCATATTTTGGACGCTGCAAGTCATCACCTGCTGTAAAAAAAAATAGATTGTTTTGGCTAGATCTAAAAAAATCTCACAAAATTTGAAAGCTGCTCAATAAGAAATAAAGTGAAGTCTTAAAAATCCATGTGCACTACACATGCTGCACCAGTATAAACAGGAAGTTAAAAATGCATAGGTCTGACATGGTTAACCTTTAAACAATATCCCTGGAGCTAAAATGGATTAAAAGGTGAGACATGATCTAAATCAAGAGATATTTCCATCGACGTGTTTATTTTAAAGGCTTTACTCCACTTGGTAATAGTTTAACCCTTGTGAAATTATGCTTGACCTTTAAGCTTTGAGGTTATTTAACAGCTTGGTAATAACTTCATAGCTGCGAGATTATAAGTAAGCAACAACAACAACAAAAACATGGTAGAGACCCAGAGTTTATTTTCTGCAGCCATTATAGAAATAAATGTGATAACATCATACTTTCCTTTGGGAGAATGTAGAGAAAATAAAATAGAAATTAATTCCATTATTTATTTTTACAGTTGGATATCAAACATCCACACTGTTGTGATTAGCTGATCTCTGTGCACCATCTTTCTTCTAAATTAAGGGCTGCAAGATCTTCAGAAAAGCAGCCCCGAGCATTGCCTCTAAAGATGACAAGTTTTATTTCCCCTCCATTGCCACTAAGTACTGCCCAATTATACTCTTTATTCTGCTTCTCTCATCTCTTTCGTGCCAAAGTTTTATGGCTTGTTTGTCTTGCTAAGTACTCAACACTCTCCACATCGGTCCAGTTAATGGAACCATAAACACTAGTGTATAAAACACACTCATAATTTGACGTTAATATTAGTATGCGTACTAAATAAGCAGGAGAAGTGATAAACCAAACTGTTCGATCGTAGCTACTGATTCATGGAATTTTACCAGGAATAATAAAAGCAATCCAAAGAGAGAGAAGGGGGGAGGAGGGGTCGACAAAACATCAGAGAAATAATTAAAAGACAGGAAAATGAAAGTCAGACCTTATTTAGCTGTCATCAATCATGTTAAGAGTCTATTTACTTCAGTTCAAAAACCATTTAGTAATCTTAGAGTTAAATTTAATGTTTTTGGTATTCATTCTCTGAATAGTTGTTGTAAATGCTTAAGGCTGGGGGCAGGGAGAATCTGCTGTAGTGGTCAGCATAGCAGCTGATGTGTAGAAGCCCCTGATTTACCATGCTCTGCTGCATCATTCCAGTCTGAGGATGCTGAGGGGTTGACCCTAATGATCTTTGTTTAATGTAAAGTCTTTTCAAAGATCTATAGTTTCTACAACTAAGTTTACGTTGTAATAAATCTTCTTTTAAGATTTTTGGAATCATAAACCAGGTGCAAACTTATAGTATTTGTTAATGCAGAACAGATCTTCAGAGAAGCGCAAAGTGGTTTTATGTTTTTCAAACATAAAATTCAACTCAGTTGCCGTTTTTTCCATCCTTTTTGGCACCTTTGAAGGGGAAAACTCACATGCAATAATGTCAGCAGTCATTGTTGCCATAAAAGAGAACAGATAGAGAAAACTTTCTCATGTCTTACTTTTTTATATTTAACATCAACTTTGTTTATAATTCTATATTTTACTTCTGCTCATAGCACTCTAATATGTGGTTACTTATATGAATTGCTATTGGGGGCCGTTTGTAAAGTTAACTAGTCAAACATTAGGAGCAACATTTAGGGTTATTCAGCATGTTTTAAGAGAAAAAGAAGGGGGTTATTTTATTCCAAGTCATTTTTGCACTATATCATTCATTCATTTATAAAAACTGTACTTCGTCAAATAAATATTTAGTTTGGAGATAAATATTTATTTAACAAATATTTAATTTGCAAACTAAATATTTAGCTTGGAGCTAAATATTTATTTTAAAAACTAAATATTTAGTTTGCAAACTAAATATTTAGTTTGCAAACTAAATATTTATTTAAAAAACCTAAATATTTGATTGGCAAACCAAATAATTATTTTGGAGCTAAATATTTATTTAAAAAAACTAAATATTTTGTTTGTAAACTAATTCTTGATTAACAAATTTAATATTTAGTTTGGAGATAAATATTTGTTTACAAACTAAAAATATTTCATTTGGAGCTAAATGTTTATTTAAAAAACGAAATATTTTATTTGAAAACAAAATATTTAGTTTGGAGCTAAATATTTATTTAATTTAACAAAATATTTAGTTTGCAAACTAAATATTTAATTTGCAAATTAAATATTTAGTTTGTTAAAAAAATATATTTGGCACCAAACTAAAGATTTATTTATTTAACAAAGTAAGATTTTTATAATAGAATGAATGACATAGTGAAAAAATGACTTTAAAAAAACACCCTTATTTTTCTCTTAAAAAACACTAAATAACCATAAATAGTACTCCTAATGTTTGACTGCTTATCTTTACAAACAGCACCCCATAAATTGCAATGTAAATAAAACAAATAATTGCTGTTTTTATGTAAATAGTTATTGCAAATATTAATTCCATATAATTGACTTAGAACCTCATCTTTCTTTCAGTCACTCTCAAACTCCTTGTAGAACCATCGCACAGCTTTTAAAGTTGTAAAATTTCCCCAGCAATCTTTGTAGATCACCCAAAACATACCCACTTATTGCGAGTGGAAAAATAAATTACATATGCAATGTAACGCATCTTTTTTGTATCTTTGAAGGTCAGTCCCCAAGCTGTTTTCTGTTTTCAACCTACATACCAAGTTGCACAATCTTTGGTGGGGAAGACGAATCAATGTTATCAAAATTTTGTTTCAGGGAAAGCTAGAAAAAAACAAATAAGCTGTTAGAAGCATAATAGAGAGGTAGAAATGCAAAGCTAGCAGGAAGTCCGAAGCCAATGCAGCAAAGATGCTTTATGTTAACCCTTTTAAAAAGTCGACCCACTATGAATTGAACTGACTTATGAAATGTTGGCATATGGTGTCCAAAATGCAACATTTGAATTTATTTTATTCCGCCTTCATCCCCAAATTAAGACAGGTTCAAACCTGGCCAGCCAGTAGATGGAGGTTAACTAATTAAACTCTTTTGAGCATGATTTTCACTGAAAAGTCTTCTTCAAAAGGAAAGTGTTTTAAACCTTTCTTTTATAATCCACTTTTATATGCTTTTGGAAACATTTCACAGTAAATGTAACCACAAATATCCAGTGATTCCCATTCAAATTAATTGGGGAAGTTCTATGGGAACAGAATAAAAATGCTTCTGCACCATAACATAGAAAGTAATCTGATAAAAAAAAAAAAAGGAGATTGAAAATTCCTACTTAAAACATTCGGCATAATTATTATTATTGCTATCTATAAATAAAAAAAAAAAAAGGATAAATATTTTCCAAAATTTAAGAGAGAAAAGTTCTGTCTATATGTTTTACTTTGTATTTTTCTTTATGATTTCAATTTTTTCTTCTCCGTTAGGATTCAAAGTGGTTACTCAGCTCTTCAGAGGATCAACCAAGACCTAGAAGACAAGATATGCAGGACGGTAGGAGAAACTGCTCCTTACTTTATCCTCACAATACTAAAATAGCCATTTTAATTTCATAATGCAACGAACTTCCACAGCACAACTCCTTAGATTTGACCTTGTTTAATATTAAAAAGCATCCTTGGCATAAGATTAAGGTATAATCCAAACTTTTTGGTTAAGATTATAATCAGCTCTTGTCTAGCTTAATACTTTTGTAGATAAAACCAGCATGGTATTGCATTTTTCTTTTGTCATTTTTGTAATGAATTTTTAATGTTAAGTGTTCATTCTCACTTTTTACATAATTTCATATCTGAACTGTAACTCTTCTTTAATTGCATTCATCACTTTGATATGAAGCACTAAAAGTATATAATCTTTTTTCAATTATATCTAATTTGGATATAGTGTAAACCTTTAGCAAACACTATTACATCAGAAATCTACCAACATGTTTGTTTATTAGGTTTCATTCATAAGGACCTTAATGGTAGTACTTGTATACTGCAGTCTTGTTTTGTTATATATGAAGAAAATCTAATTATTTTAATGCAGTTTTCCACAGGCAGCTTTTTTCAGGCTCTTAAATTTTACCTTTCATGACCATGTTGCCTGTTTGTACTGACATGAGAAAGAAGTTAAGAAACCTCAGAACATCACAAAGGCTCTAATAGAAGATTTATGAAAGAAAACCCACATAAAAGCAGATCATGTGTGCTACTTTGGATCCTAATGATTCCAGTTTGGGTTGAAATTACACAGCTGATAACATTAAATTGTGCGGTTACCACAAAACCATTTATGTTAGTTGATATTTTTTGCCCTCTGCTTAGGGTTGCCTTGGCAACAACTCTTTTCTTTTTGTTTTACAATATTGCACTCATAAGTTCACTAGCAGCTACATCCCTGCATTTTGTCTGTAAACCACAAGTCATGGCTGAAAATAGACAGATGCACATTATAAATGTAAACTTCTAACTAGGCACAATTTGATTGTTCCATGCTGAACTTTTTTATGCTTCGGGAATTCCTTAATTTTTAATTTCATAGTTTGAATATCTTGCCAGAAACATTCCTCAAAGATTTCCCAGCGTGCTTTAACGGTAGAATGACTCAACTGTTTTTGGTGTGGTGCTCTGCATCTGTAGCCTACCTGCTCAGAGGATTGATTTGTTGAGCACTCAGAAATTTCCTTCTACATACCTTGGTAATAAGAAGTTATTTGAACTACTAATGCTTCTCTGTGATCCAACCAAACACTAGTCTTTCCTGAAGCCATTTAAAGCACTTGGGAAGAGTACTGATGGTTGCAAAAATGTTTTCTTTTCTGCTAATTACTCTGAGACAACTTGACCCACACCAACCATTTCTTATATTAAACTTTAATCTGTTTCCCAATAACTAATATCATTTAAATATGATTACATGGCACAGCTTTTTGTATAATAATTGTTCTGTTGCAAACAACTGCATCTATTTGATGGTTGCAACAGTCGCAGCATGTCATAAATTCTTTTTTTGTTTTTTGACATCTTTTCTTTTTTGTCTAATCAACTCATTGTTCTGCAATTTCATATTGTTTATACAATGAATTAACAAATTAAATGCAACCATGAACTCTTTGGATGCAATACATTATACTTAAATGAAACAATGACATTGGAACTTTAAAAAAAAAAATAAAATTTAATTTACATCCAAAAATAACATGCCAACTTCTGAGCTATTCACAACATCATTATAAATGAAAAAAATAAAAGAATTTTAAGAGCACAGCCTTAAATATTTGTTTTATTTTTATTTAAGTAAATATTATATAAACCCAAATATGTTCAACACTTCAACTTTGTTACCGAATGTAACTGGCTGTTATCTTCTTTATCTTTTTGTGTTACATTTTCCACAACTTGAACTGAAATAAGAGAGTGTTTCAGAAAAATGCAAGTACTAGTCATCTACACTTTGCATTAAAAGTGTAAATTTCAAACAAAAATCCCAGTCTTCACCTTATTTTTTGAAAACGTGTGCAGTGCAGATTTAAAAAAAGTCTATTGTACTTGTCTGGTCCAATAAGCCAAACTATTGTGCCCAAACACAGATCCATCCCCCTATTAGATGGTTTCATCTGCAAATGTTCTTTTGAAAAGCTTAAAATGCCAACCATGGTTTCCAAATGGCAGACGCTCATTGTAATAAATGATATACCCTAACAATAAAGGATTATCTGCTGGGGATAATGTGAGCAATAGTAACAACTGCTCTCTCTGTTCTGAACTGCGTCTGAGAAATTAAAAACTCACTACAATCTATCACAGCTCACCTGTTCACCAGCAGAAACACGCTCATCTCTCTCACTGCAATTACACCATCAAAGGCGGGTTTCTGAAATCAATGTCTAGAGTAATTGGTCTTAGCTGCTGTGCAACGTTGTTAGGATCTGTGAGAGCTACAGCAGCAGTAGTGCTTCTTCTGAGAGTTAAGGTAGACAAGCCTATAACAGATTTAAGCACTCAGTTGAATTATAAAACTACAATTATTTTTAAAAGATTCTTTGTTAATGAATTACATAATTTATTTATCAATATGATTAGAATATTTTTCCATCTCAGTGAACAATCAGTTGTGTTACATTAAATGTTTAAGAACATATCATCCAAAGAGCATAAGGAAAATCCTGTCATGAGAGGTTAAGACAGCCTTGTTTCCCCACAAATAGTAATCAAAGTACCAAGGTTTGGAGGATTTTGAGGACCCAAATGCATACTGAGTTTGCAGAGATGACTGCAGATTTAATGGAAAGTTCCAGAGGCAACTTACAGAAAAGCAAAAAGCCAGGAGATTAGCCAGGGAGAGATACACACAGGGAGCCAAGTAACAACAAAGCAACAGGAAACCAGCAAGGAGGAACTGCAGAGGCGGTGTATATATGGGGAACAGAACAAAGAATGGGCTAATGAGCTAATATGGAGCAGGTGTGGATAGAAGTAACTAGAAGGGAGCCAAGGGGAAAGGAAACTGACAGAGAGTAACACAAAAACACAACCCTGCCAGAAAACAACTACAAAGACACAAAATTACAAAGAAACTAAAAATAATTCTAAACAAAGAGCAGAACCCTGAAACTTTCTAATAAAAGAGTAAAGCATCACCATCCATTTCCATAATTGACTGACAAGAGACAAATGAAGGAAGAGGCATTTCCTTCTTACTGAGTTTAGCAATTGTACAATTATTTTGATCACATTTTTCT